CTCCATACCTTTCCAATCCCCCTAGCACTGCCCCCAAATCCTCTGCCTAAGCTTCCATCTTTTCCAATCCCACCATCTGCTCCGCCGCTCTACCATTCTCAATCCCCCACCGATTTCTCTATCCTTTACCTTTCCCACCAGGCCATCACCCAGCCACAACTGCCATCTCCACCTCCTAACCTGCCACTGTCGCCTAACCCTCTGCCCCCACCAGCTCCTCCGCCAAACTCGCCCCCATCCCCGGCTTCACCGCCAATATCGCTGCCCTTACTAAACCCTTTCTTCTCCTCCTCCAAACCCACCACCACAAGTTCCTCCACCAAACCCGCCCCCACTGCCATTACCGCCGTCCTTACCAAACTCTTTATTCTCCTCCTCGTATTCCCCACTCCAAGATTTCCCAAGTGATTTTCGGTTTAAGAACCCAGAAATCAAAAAAATTGACTTGCCTTTGAAGAACCCATCAACGCCTCAATCTGCTATATAAACGCAGAAGAACCCATTGTCGGAGGTCGTTGGAGGTTACCGTCGGCGGACTCCACCCAAAAACCCTTGTCACCGTCAATCCCTCAATTCGAAGCGGGGGATTTCGCCATCCAAGATTTCGATTCCAAATGAGGGAGGAGAAGTAGAAGAAGAAGTAAAAATCATTATGAAAGGAAAATAGATATGGAGGTCGCCACCAAGAACTTCCTCAAGCTCATGGGCTCTAACAAAGATGGATTCTAACACCGGAAGCTCAAGTTATGGACCAGATGATAGTATTCAGACATGCCAAATGAAGTTCCAACGAGTTGAAATTTCGGGAGCAGACACATGAGTCTAAGAGGAAGTTGACCAACAAAAATGGGCCGATTTGGAGATGACTTCCTCAACAAGATACTTCGTCCAAAAGTTGAAGGAAACCGAATTCATCATGTCGGATAAGGAAGGATTTGGTTTACTTTAGGAGGAACAAACTAGAAAATTTCCTTTTGTAATTAGTATAAATAGGAGACTAGACTAGTGTTTTTACACGCACCTCTTACCAACACTCTGCACAAGCGGCACGAGAAGCAATCCATAGAGTGAGGAGGCAATACCCTGCTAGTAAAGATGGCAATGGGTAGGGCCCGGTGTGGGTATGCCCTATACAAAATCCTTACCCGCCGGGTATGCCTTCGTAAAATACCCAAGTAAAATAACCGTCGGGTATTGAAATGAGATTACCATACCCTACCTATCAAGTATCCACGGGTATGCAGGTAACCACGAGTATGATTTCTGCAAAAGCACTTCCTTTGATTCTTCTCTTTTCTCTCGCTAGAAACAAGCACTTGGAAGAGAAGGATTGTAAGGAAGAAGGAAGTAATGAGTTACATTAGTAGAGTTAGAGTTGCAATAAGAATATTGCAGGGAAAAGGGCTAGAGACAAGAGAGACAAACTGGGCTCCATACGTTAGTCCCATTCATTTACAGTGTGCTCTCTAATTAGTTGGGCTTTGAGTTTGTCAATAAGGTCCATTATTTTGACCGAGATGTTGGCAATCTTCCTTGTTAATCAACTCCTCATAATCGGTGATGGCCAAAGAATAGTTACGGGCGGGTACTAGCAATTACCGTACCCATATCCTACCCATTTTTTTGAAACCGGGGATTACCCGTACCCGCCACTCAACCCGTCAAAGTTGGGTAATTACCTTCGTTGACTAGTTATGGTCGAGTAGGGTACCCATGGTTACGGATTTGATTGCCATCCTTACCTGCTAGAGCTCGACTAGGGAGCATCCAACATTGATGTCTCTATCAATGATGAAGTTGTTCTACTTCTCTATGCGTAGCTAATTCGATCTATTTCGGATGTGAATTCTATGATGCTTTATGTATTACTTTCAATGATGATGCCTATTCAGTTCAATGTCTTTATCATCCATGCTTGAGTTGATTTATGCTTGTATTATCTATTGATCATTCATTCGATCATTTATTTATCGATTGCTTTAGTTGTTTTATGTGTTTGACTCTTATTTTATGCCATTATATCATCGTGTGCTTAGTATTTTCTAGGGTTTCAAGAAATTACCTTCTACTGACAACCCATTGATGTTAAGTGTGTATGGGAGGAGTAATAACCATCCATGCATTGACTAGTATCAATGCTCGATTATCATATGATCGATGCAATAGACCATCGATTATGGCCCGTAGAGGCCCCATAATTAATCATGTGATATCCTAATTTCCTTGTTCTTCATTGTTTAGGTGATGGAATGAAGCAAAAATACGCATTAGCTTGTCAAATTTCTATTGCAAAAGGCGCATGCATGGGTAAAGAGTGACCTTAGAGGAAGGGATAGAGTATCACAACATATGATGCATAGAAGCATCTCATTATTGAGTTGGTATGCTTGATCATCTAGAATCACTACGTAAACATTAGTTTCATTGCTTGTTTTCTTGTTTGCATTGCATTGTTTGTTTCCTTTGATTAGTAGCTTAGTAAGCTTGAATAGGGCACCTCAACATATTTACTTTTCCTTGCAAATTAATTCGAGCTCAATAGGTTATGTTTGAGTAGTTACTATCAAAAGACCTCATGGAATATGACCCCAGGACATTCAAGGATTTGATCGCTTGTTACTACATCAAGTTTTTGGGCTGAGAACATTTTATACTAATTGAAAGAAACTAACCCCTTGTGTTTGATTACTTTGGAAAACTATTCCCTCCTTGTTTATTTTTATTTTGTAAGAATCGTACTCAAGGGAAGCACTGCAAGGAATCCAAGGACGAGAATAGTTAAAGCATCACTTGGAGAAGGATGATTTTCTCATCTCTATTCGAGTGGTTTCGGCCAAAAGCTCGAAGATCGAAGCAAGCAACATCAATCATCCTCCGCTACTTCCCTGTGAGCTAAGGATACATGACGAATGGATGAGCAAGGACACGTATCTAGAAGAATTGAGGATACAAAGAGGACGAGATTTTGCCCAACCTTGGATGACAAGAAGCAAGCTATCAAAGATATTGATGCAAGACACCAGATCGAGTCATATGAATCATCCTCGACCTTTCCCCTCTGAGGTACAGTTAAGTGTCTGGAAGAAATGAGAGTGTATTCATCCAAGGATCCCATGAGGATCACATACATTTTAGTGTCATAAAGTTTAGACCCATGAGGAGGGGCGTTGGAACAAGCAATATGCATGCCCATGTCCCAGTCGCCCTCAATGAAAGTCGAAGAGCGAGATATACTCGTAATCCAGTCGAGTCCATAAACGTCGGTGATTTTCATTTTGTGCAAACAAACAAGACCCCAGAGGAGCTTCCGTACCAATGAGAACTCGAGCCTTGATGAAAATTTCCTCTGGCCAGAGTCCAAGAGCCTATTCTCACACCTTACCGGTCCACTAATTTGCAATGGATACAAGGTGAGGAAGAGGTACCAAATAATGGAATGGATACGTTTAATAATATGGGTAATGTCTATTTTTTATCCAAATCTTTTTCAGATTCTTTTATATTAGGGTTAATATCTTATTTTGGCCCGAACTAGGACCATATAATCAACTTTGGCACGTGGTTTCAGAAACTAACATCCTGGCCTCAATTATGAAGCATATAGACTAAATTGGCCCAACACATGCTTTGACCGTCAATTTGGACGGTCAAGACTATTGACCGTTAGTCAACACACCATGTCATTGCCTAGTCAGCCTAAAAATTATTAAAAAATTGAAATTGAAATTATTTTTCTAATTATTATTATTTATCATTTTGAAATTAACCAAAAATGAAAATTCAAAAAATATATAATACATTTTATGTTTTTATCTTTTGGGACATTTGAAAATGATAAATTTTATAAATTAAAAAATAATCAAATTAAATTTTATAAATGTAGAAAATATAAAAAACATAAACCAAAAAATAAATTTCTAATTCAAATTCTTTTTTTAATTTTTATTATTTATCATCATCAAATTAAAAAAAAATTATAAAAACATAAAATAATTTTATATATTTTTTTGGTAATTTTAGAATGAAAATTTTTATAATTTTTTATAAAAACAAAAAAAATTATCAAATCATTATAGATTTTTTAAATTACCCAAATATAAAAATTTAAATATATATTCTTTTTTAAATTTACCATTTTCAAATGTTCCAAAAGATAAATTATCATTTTTTTATATTTTTTAAATTTATTTTTTAGTTAATTTCAAAATGATAAATAATAATAATTAGAAAAATAATTTGAATTTGAATTTTTTAATGATTTTTAGGCTGACTAGGCAATGACATGGCGTGTTGACTAACGGTCAATGATGTTGACCGTCCAAATTAACAGTCAAAGCATGTGTTGGGCCAATTTAGTCTATATGCTGCATAGTTGAGGCCAGGATGTTAATTTCTGAAACCACGTGCCAAAGTTGATTATATGGTCATAGTTCGAGCCAAAATAAGGTATTAACCCTTTATATTACCTAAACCTATCGAAATACTAAGAATTAGCCAAATGTTAACTTTCAGTTAGCAATTTTGTTAGTAATATTGACTTGGCAACATGATACTGACTTGGAAGAGACACATGAATATCAACATTCCAAAATTTTAGTATTTTAACTAAGAAAAGAGTTATAAAATTATTAACGATAATGTAAAAATGGATAATATTTCGATGCATTACGAAAGATTTGGCTAATTAATAGCATTTTAATAGATTTGAATAATATAAAAAAATCTGAAAAAGATTTGGATAAATAATAGACATTACGCTAATAATACAGAGGAGATGCAGATAGCCCAAAACCCTGATAGTTTCTTCGTTAAGCCTTTTTGTTCGGGCCACTGTCCTAGGAGTCCGTATTGGAAATTTGGGGAAATAGCTTTCCAGCCAGCCAGCCAGCCAGCCAGCCAGCCAGCCATCGTAGACTATGGCGCAGCATTACGCAATGGACCGGCGTGCAGAGGATCAGAAAGTAGTTGGGCGGAGCGGAGCTCAGGGCCTTTTGAGTTGACTTGAAAAACGAGGAAAACTTCTCTCTATTTCTATTTGCCGCTGCTCTCTCTCCGTCTTATCCCCTCCGGTGCCCGAAAATTCAAATCGCCAAGGATGAGAGAAGAGAGAGCGGCTCTAACGTTTCGAAGCCTCCCAGAGCTGAATTCAGCGCAGTGTAGTAGTCCGAGGAACGACAGCGGGGCTTTATGGAAGAGCGCTCGGCTCAATTGCAGTATTCAAAGAGATGGTGGCGGTGGCGGGAGGAGGAATTCCGGCAATTTCGCTTCCCTTACGATGGTTGAGAAGGCTGAGAGGGCCGAATTCGCCCCGTCCTCTGCGCAGCTATTGAAACACCCGCTTGCTATGCTGGCTTACGTCCCGCGAGGCGCCGCTATTTTCATGGCTGGTGCTGTCGCCGGAGCCGCCGCCAAGACGGTGACTGCCCCGCTTGATCGAGTCAAGCTTCTCATGCAGGTGAAATTTGTTTACTTGCCACGATTTTTCTTCTTATCATTGCTTCGACGGCATTTATGAAGTTAGGTAGCGCTTCCCCTCTTCTTTTACCCCGTTGTTGTGACTGATAATCAATAATGCAACGTTTGCTGGCTTTATAGTCCGTTTGTTTATCGGTAAAGTGTCGGTGGATTTTGGTTGCTGTTTGAACTTTCTATTGTCCTTAGCTAACTTTTGAGGCAGAAGAGTCCACCTTTTCGTTTATTTCTCTTCCTCATACTCCACGTTCTTGCTTGAATGACGATGGAATTTGGTTAGTTCGATCAAATTACTAATGGGTAAGGCCCGTTTACCTTTTGCTTTTACAGACACACGGTGTTCGGGTTGGGCAAGAAAGCGCTAAGAAGGCAATTGGTTTTGTTGAGGTATGTAATTGCGCCATGCCTGTTTTGATTTGTTGAGTAAAGAGTGCTGATGGTTTGCCCTTTAAAATTTGAACATTTCTATCTTAATAATGACATTACGGAGTTTTCATTTACTTTGCAGGCTCTAGCATTGATAGGAAAAGAAGAAGGAATCAAAGGATATTGGAAGGGAAACCTCCCTCAGGTCCTTTTTAATTTATTATCTAAGAATTTGGTTCTCCAATTATGGTTATAGCACTAAGTGTCTATGGACCTAGGTTCTATTTCTGATGAATTTCATGCTTCAGGTTATTCGGATCATACCTTATAGCGCCGTCCAGCTTTTCAGCTATGAGTTTTACAAGGTAATGTTCACTTTCTTTACTCATTTGTATCAAGAAGAACATGCTAGAACCATTTGAAATTTACTTGCAGTAACTTCTTCGCATTACTAAATTTCACATTTTAAGTTTTGCAGAAACTTTTTAAAGGGAAAGATGATGAACTGTCTGTTATTGGAAGACTTGCAGCAGGTGCTTGTGCAGGCATGACTTCCACTTTTGTAAGTAGTTAGTACAGTGGAATGTAAAATATGTATCTTGGAACACAATCTACATAGGGAACTCCATCAGTTTTCTGATAAAGTTGACCAAATGAGTCTGAATGGTCTTCTATTGCCTCTTTTTCCTGTCTAGGTGACATACCCTTTAGACGTGCTAAGGTTACGATTAGCTGTCGAAACAGGGCACCGGACAATGAGTGAGGTATGATTGGCGTTCCGCTCTCAAATTTCCATTCATGGTTACAAGACCTCTAATACTATTGTAGGAATTTCCTAATAATGCAGATTGCTCTAATTATGCTGCGAGAGGAAGGAGTTGCATCATTTTACTATGGTCTTGGGCCTTCACTTCTCGGCATCGCTCCATACATTGCAGTAAACTTTTGCATGTTTGACTTGTGAGTCACCACTTAATGCCCCCCTATTTCTGCTGTTTGAAATTCAACAGTGACAAAACACTGATGGTTTTAGAGATGGACCCTTCTTTTGCATGACAGAGTGAAGAAATCTTTGCCAGAGAAATATCAAAATAAGGCTCAGTCATCTGTAATAACAGCTGTGGTGTCTGCTGCTGTTGCCACACTCACGTGTTATCCCCTGGACACAGTGAGAAGACAGATGCAAATGCGGGGTGCACCTTATAAAACGTTTTTTGATGCCTTTCCAGGTAAAAAAAGGATTTAAGAGCTTTTCATAAATGATTGTGTTGTTCCAGCTTTAGAAGAAGTAAAGAATATATGTGTTTGATTAGGTTTCCGAAAAATGTATAGCTTTCTAGATATGAGATCATTTTTAGTAATAAAATTATAAATGATAGGATGACAGATTGTTTAATACAATAATAAAAAGAGATTGGGTTTTGCTAAGAGACTATCATGGGCTTGACTTTAGGAATGAAGTCGTTATCAACGGAGCTGGGGAACTAGTATTCTGAAAGTTGGATTGTAGAAGTGTATTTGTTTCGGCTTATAAGTTACAAGTCAACTTCTTTTAAGTTACTTGCTGAGCTGCATTTTCATTAAATTAAGTTCACTGTCCAGAATATGTGATGTTTGAGTCAACCGCGTTTAGCTTGATCTTTTTCATGTATACCATCTCAAACTTTTTACGTGGCATTGTGCCTTCTATTGTAGATCTGAAATGAGTTTATTAACTTGGTCAGTCGTTCTATGCATCAAATCTAATGTTGCTCCGAAACTTGTATATCCAGGAATCGTGGAACGAGATGGATTTATCGGCTTGTACAGGGGGTTTCTGCCCAATGCGTTGAAGAACCTACCGAACAGCAGGTGTTTTTTTTTTAATCCTCCACACCCTGAAAGACGCTCCAACTCGACTTAGGAGTTCACTTCTTTCCCTGCATCTGGCCTCACCTTTTATATTTCTTGATATTTTTCTGTTGGAAATGCAGCATTAGGCTATCCACGTTCGACATAGTGAAACGCCTAATCTCAGCCGGTGAGAAAGAGCTCCAGCAAATAACGGACGAAAACCGTGCAAAACAGGGTTGAGCCGCGGCGGATGTCAGTAGACGCCCATGTATATCTTCACGGAATTCGGGTTTTCATGGTTGGCAAAAGGCAACCACGAGAGTAGCTTAAAGTGCAGGAAGAAACTATATATGATTTGGGCAGTCCGGTAGTAGTAGGTGAGAGCATTCTTCAGTAGTAGTTTTGGTATATGTCAGTGCCTCCTGTAATGTTATCTTGTAGTGAAATGATCTCATGTAGTGGTCATGACCATTCTTCGGCTTCCGGTGATCGTCCTGGTGCCCTGTTTTTTTCGCAAGAACCCTTTGATACCATTTCCCTTCTATTTATATCGATATTTCGTATTAATGTGTATTGAGGGAGGGAGTGGGTTTTCTTCACGGCTTCCGGTGATCGTCCTGGTGCCCTGTATCCTTAATGAATCACACTCACTTTTAGCCCAGATTTATAAAGGGAAATACTTTCCGGTTGGGACCTTCCTCACTGCCACGGCTCGCTTCCACCCATCGTGGGGCTGACAAAGTATACTCTATGGTCGACAGTTATTGGAGATGGGGTTAAGATTACAAATTGGTAATGGTCAGACTGCTTCTCTACTTCATTCCAACTGGGTACCTCGATTACATCCCTGTCCCTTAGTCTATAACCTCCAGGTCTTATCAGACGGGGTGACCCACCAGTAGCTGAGGTTATCTGTCAGGGGGAAGGGCATTGGTGTAACTTAAGACTCAGCCAATGGTTTGACCCGCCTACCTGTTGTGCCATCAAAGTTATTCCTCTACCGATTCAAAATTTGGAGGATAGACTGATTTGGCATGACACACTTGATGAGATTTTTACGATTAAATCGGCCTACCATTTTTTTTTGTCTTACTTGACAAGCGAAGTGGGCGTTGGTGGTCCACGGCTAGTTGGATGTATAAACCTAGCTGGATTCGTTTATGGGAGGCTAATATTCCGCCCAAATTGAAAGTGTTTGTCTGGCAAATCTTTCACCAAATCCTGCCAACTACTGAAGCCCTAATAGAGAAGGATGTTCATGTGCTCTTCCCAGATGCCCGGTTTGTTGGGCAGATTCAGAAACAATGGAACATTTGTGTCTATAATATTGCCTGGTGGCGCAGCCCCTTTGGGACTATTTAGGTCTGGAGTATCTTGGTCAAGGGTTGCCTCGTCATACCTTCCCGCTCTTTCTAAAAAAGCCGATGTCATTAATACACCAACCTTCTCTGTTCATGGCGGTTGTTGCCATCCTATGGAGGATTTGGCGGTCTCGTAACTGGGTTGTCGTTGAGGGTAAGCAGTTTGGGATCCCTACCTTGATGCGTTAGTTTAACCAGCAATATGAGGAGTGGATAAGCTTGTCGATAGATCTCACACCTTAGGCTTCCATCCCTTTGGTACAACAATTGAGTCCTGGGGGGACTAATACAGCTGTTTGTATGTGGGATGGGGCTACAAAAAGTGGTCTCATTCGGCCAATGGGATGGTTATTTTGAATCTAGCTAGGGAAATCCTTATGGCTAAGGGGGTTCAAATCACGTTGATTGATGACCCCATGGTGGTCGAATTGCTCGTGCTCCGGGAGGCTATTTTGTGTTGCTTGAGCCATGGCTTCACGGAATGAGTTTCGAAGGAGATGCCAAGGTGATTATTGAGAAGATCAATTGGGCTGATATCAGAGATAACAGGATGGGGGCTATTCTTGAAGAAATCGTGCATTATTTTGTCATCCAATCTGGGTTTAGTGTTCAATTTGTAGGTCAGCGTAATAATAGAGTAGTCCATGTGGTGGCTAGAAAGGCTCTGTCTTTGTACCCGACTATGAGTCATTTTTTTAATTTTCAGACCTTGCTGATCTCTAGGATGTAACTGCCTATTATTTGAATCAATATATGATTATCTTTTTTAAAATAAACCTTGTATGGACATCCCTACCTGGCAAGGGACTCGTTTGGATATGGAAAGGATCTGTGTGGAGCTCAAAGCATGTTACCAAAGGTTCATAAATTTCAACTGGCTCCAGATGTGGGTAAAGAAGTCCATGAGTAAGGAGGAAGATGAAACCAGGAAGAAAAATTTTGAGCCAATTGTTGTGGAAGCTGAAATTGTAAGGAATACAACAGATTCTGCTGAAGGTGTTATACCAACTATGGTTATGGATAAGAGGAATAGCGTTGTTGTCTGAGGTGGTTAGGAATATTCCATTTCAAATGGCTCTTTTTAAACCTTCCCCTGTGGCTACTGGTAGTATTATGCAAGGTCCTGTTACGAGGTACTATTGTGGATGCTGATGGTTTCCAACTTGTCAAATGCATAAGGAAAAGTAAGAGTGGCAATCAGGGCTCTAATAGTGGTCAATGTTAGGGATGCAACCTGTTGCACTACTAGCACCTCAGTAGTATAAACAATTAATACCACAACATCGCTCTTCATCTAGTCAACAACAAGTTTGTCGAAAATTTGCTCCTCCCTTTCCTCCTAAGGGTAGAGGAAGAGGTAGAGGTGGCAATTCTCAATCCAATCCACCTAATCCAATCCATTTAAATCCAATCCATTTAATCCAAATCCAATTGGATTGGTGGATTCATGGATCAATCCTTGGATCCAATTGACAAATTACGGTTTGGTACCTATACTTTTTATATTTTACATTTTGGTACCTTAAATTTTATTTTTATACGAAAATGTCATTGGAAAATTACGTTTTGGTACCTAAAATTTTTCGTTATGACATTTTAGTACCTAAACTTTTCACATTTTACATATTGGTCCAAGGTTGAGGATGTCATTTGGATTCATGGATAATCCACCAATCCACTTGATCCAATCCATGAATCCACCAATCCATTTGATCCAATCCATTTGATCCATGAATCCACCAATCCAATCCACGAATCCATGGATCGATCCATTTGCCACCTCTAGGAAGAGGTAATAAGAAAAGGTAATATGAACATATTTAGCTGGAACCTCAGAGGGTTTAGAAAAGAATAGCAGGATATAGGTAAAAGAATTTTTCTCTAAGTGAGAACATATGAATAATTGCAACCATTATAGTTTTGGTCGAGTTTGGTTATATTGGAAGTCAGGTTTATACTTGCCCACTTGCAGAAGGTTGATACAAACATGAAGAGGCTGGATCAGTTTGTTGCTCACACCACCAATAACTTTGAAGAACAAAAGGTGATAAAAAATACCAAGGTTCAAGAAAGCGCTAGGCGTAAGGCGAGCTTGAGGCTCTGCCTTGTGTCTAGCATGCTTAGGCGTCGCCTAGGCGTGCCTAGCGTTAGATGTAGAATGTTTGGTAAAGGTTCCAAAAGGAAAAGTGAAGAATGTTTTGGTTAAGGAGGAGATTCGTCTTTCCAGCAGGTTTTGTAATCTTGGATAAGGCAAAAAACAGAAAGGTGCCACTCATTTCGGGAAGACAACCATACCTACTGGAGATGTGGAGGTAAACTGACACTTTGAGTGGGTAAAGAAGAGGTGAGTTCCAAGTCAATCAATTTCTTGATACATCGTATAAAACTGGAAGTTAAATTCAGGAAAGAAAATGTACCTCTGGCTTAGAAAAAGTTATGCAGAAATGTCCCAAGCCATATGTGGAAGATGTGAATGTGGTGTTACAAATATTTGGGTCAAGATTTCAATCTTCTTGTCATTTTTTATGAGGGTGTTATAGGTTTACTTTTGTGATTTAAGTACTACTTAAGGGATTCAAACCTGAGACCTCCAGGTTCAAAGGCTACTGATATTACCACTTGACCAAACCTTTGTTCGTTATTCCTTCTTCACTACCTAAAAGACTGGATGAGTACTTGCTTGAGGGGCTTCAATACCACCTATACCTCACCGAAGGATCAAACAAGCAAATGAGGTCATCCCCAAATCTTGTACACCTAGCTTAGTAGAGATAGCTCATATGTTGGATGGTGGTTATACTTTTTATCATTGTTTGGATAGGTATTCTAGATACCTATTGATTGTCATTGGTTGAGAGCTGCAATATTGTGAAGCTCAAGACTTGAAATAAGCGCTTTTGTGAGGCAACCCAATGTTAGTTTTTATTTTGGGTTAATACCTTAAATTAGCCAAACTATACACTAATATAATAATTTGGCCCCTGGTTTCTGAAATACCTATCCGGACCTAAACTATTCACTATATAGACTAACTTGTCTGAACCCGTGGGTTGACAATCAAGTAAGACGGTCAACATCGTTGCTAATGGTCAACATGCCATGTCAGCATAAAAAAATTTAAATATTTATTTTAAATAATTTTCCTATCTAGGGATGGCAAAAATATTTGCAACCAGGGATATCTGCGCAAATCGGACCTAATGGGGTAGGGTAAAACCCGAGCTCGAAGAATTTTTGGTAGGTACGATTAAAACTCGGACCCGAATATTGCGGATAATGAGTGGGTATGGTTTTCTCACTATCTAACCCAAACCCGCTCGATTATACACAAACATATATATTTTTTCAAGAAATACTCATTATTTTTGTCATTATAATTTATATTTAGTATACAAATATAATATTTCATGAAATTGTGTTGTTTGAAATTAATTTTCTTTATTCTAGTGAATTATTGTCGTACTTTTCCACTTATGTAATGAGAGCATATGTGTGAATGTTAACATGCTGGTTGGAGTTATAAAGAGAAATTATTACTCATGGATAAGTGTGGATACCAAAAACTCGAGCGAGTATGAGCATGATTTTGATTTTCTACCTGATTCTTACGTGAGTATAGATGGATAAAACCCAAACTATTTTGGATAGGATAACGGATATGCACTATCCGTCCATCACCCAACCCGTTGCCATCCCTACTAATATCTATGATTTACCATATTAATAGAAAATAAATAAATGGGATTCAATTCCTAGATCCCACTTCTCCCCTCCCCCACCACTACCGCCTTCCACCATCATGAGATTGATGCGGCTCTTCTGTGACCTCCTTCATCGCTGCCTAAACATAAGTTATGGTAGGCATGACGGACTGCACGTTTGGAGCAATGTGGTTGTAACAAATTCAATTTGTACGAGTACATAAAGTCATAAACCAACAACTTCTCTGTAACACCCTAACCTATACGTTTTGCCTAATCATATTGTTCATACAATTGCAGCGGAATTAATCTCGGGTGTTACACTAATTATCAAAATTTACCCAAATAAAATTTCGACATGAATTACTCGCGTAATGGGCTAACAGTTCTTCCCTCTAATCCTGCAAAATAATTCATCTAAATCTATGCATTCATAGACAAACATATACACTCACTGCCATATGCATTGGCTTTTCATAGCCATAGTCACAGTTTCATGTTACACAACTGCATACTATACTGATACATGCCATAATCGTCACAACTTACATAATTACACAAATATACACATATCATCAACTTTCCACATCTGTGGGTATCTCACACTACATCAGAAGCTAGTATGCACATGAAAAACGTTCTCAAAACATTTTACAAAAAGGTGTGGATCACTGGCCAAAATCCCGAGTAGTAGTCCAAGCACAAAATAGTTG